TATGTGTTTTCAAAAATTATTTTTATTCCTTAAAAGGCGTTTTAGACTTTATGTGTAGACACTTAATCCCTACAAATCCTTCATTCAGCTCATGCACTCGGTTTAAGAATTGTCAGTGCAGTTTCCAGGAGTTCACTTTGAAAACCAGACATACACAGTGAGGAACCTCTGCGCTCTAATACCATATGAAGGCCAGCAGATTTAAGAAATAACAAGTAGCGTGTCAGAGCTTCTGCAGAACAAATTATACCCCTGCTTTAAATCTGTCTGCCCTTGGTCTCTCGCCCAATTTTTAAAGGAATGGTGTTGTCTTGCCAATCCAAACTCTTAAATCACCTCTCGAGCAAGGCAATACCCTTAACACTCCAGGTAAAATGTTTCGGAAAAGGTGAAATTTGTGTTTCATTTGCCCAGATGATGATCTGTTTATTGGTTATGATTTATAAAAAACATTCTTTTATTGGTTTTAACGGGTCATTCATACAGTGTCTGTTTCAGTGTCTCATGTTCTACAACTGAAAACATCCCACAGTCCAACTGCAGCTGCAGCACAGACTGTTATTCCACAGGGGTTTTTTTTGTGCAGGTCACATCAGGCGAACGGTGAATAGTAGAACAGCTCTGATACCACACTTTACCTTGTTGCCACTGGTTTTTGACTCAACAAAGGATGTTTTGGTATCTCGCTCATCGGCCATATCGGCCCTGCTGTTCTCAGCCAAACATAAGTTCACGACTCATTCATAGACAGGCTGAGGTTTCCTACTGCTACAGTAGGGAGGAATTACTACAATGCTGTTCTGTTCTGTACTATGAGGTGTGGAGTGACAGCGATAGAAAGCAAGCACTCCCCATTTTCATACTGACCTGTCAGAATTGGCCTTCAAGTGTGTTTTAGACCAAGTCCTGCATGCTCTTCCCCTGCTACCAGTTCTGCGTCTAGGAGGCTGTACTAAAGTTCACCATCTTAGTTTGACATGTTAACATGCTAATATTTGCTGAGACTGATGGAAATGTCATTAGTGTCATCAGTTTTGCAGGTATTTGTTCATAGCCATACCACTAGAGGCAACAGTCAAGGTTAAACAGCAGCTATTGATTTGGACCCTGACCTTTCACCAGATGAAAAGATGTCATTCTCTGTCCTATAAATGTTTGAATAAATGACATTCAAATAATTTATACACAAGGCTGAAAAAAGAAAGTTAATCAATAATCTATCATCTTGTCCAGGTCGCTCTAGGGTACTTTGGGAATTGGGAGTGTTGTCTCCTCCTTAATAACTATTGATCAATAGTGCCTTACTGGTAAATAAGCGGATTTTCAGTCTGCTCTACTCTCATTTCTGGGAAGCGTTTGATGTCAATTGTCCTACAAAGAAATCCAAGGCATGTAGACAGGACATCGATTTTTATCTCTAGAAAAAAAATACCCATTTTTCAACCAATATTTTTATGTTCAAAGAGAATTTAGGAGTAAACGTCTAAAACAGTAATATCACATCATCACATATAAACAGCTGCTTCACATTCACAAGGGATCAAGCTCTAGTCAAAGATAGAGGAGCACTGATACCAAGTGAAAAAAGACATCAATGGGATGTCAGTTAATGATGACTAGTTACATTCCTCTTTCATCAATCCATGTGCCTCCAACTACAGCTGTATTTATCCAAACCTCTTGGGAATGGATGCTGTTCAGACCACTGAAATGTTCTAAAAATCCAAACCAAAGATGATCGGCTGTGCTCCAAGACATGCTTCAAAGCCCAATTATGAATTAAAGTATGTTTTTTTTGCACTGTGGCAATTTTTGTTCATAATTGCTATCCAGATGGACTGACCAGTTCATGCATCAAATATCAGGATGAACAAGGTTTTATTGTACCGCAGAGTCAACCAAGAGGGTTTGGGAAATTCCCATAACGAAGTGCACAACTGACAAAAAAAATTGAAGGAGTGACAACGGGAAAGGCAGTTCATCAGGTCACTGATGATTTACCACGTCAGAGACCAGGCAGGAACCAATGGCAGGGACTCATTAAAATGCCTATTTCCAGGGCTCTTCTGTAACCAGGCCATCAAGGCTGAGTGATATGGGACAGAAAGAGGAGAGCAGGAGACTTATGAAGTGAACTGAGAATGAGTGGTCTGTCCTGAAAATGCAGGGTCAAGGCTATGTGGTAGAACTGATGTGGGCAATGACCCTGACAGAGCTCCTAATATACATGACTTTGAGCCACTTTGCTCATGTCAGGGCTTAGATGACAAATTAAACAGGGGGATGGAAGAGAGAGGAAGGGAGGGGAGGTCTCAGAGACAGGACAAAGGTGGCTGTCCCATAATGCTCTTTCTACCAGTCTGTATCAATGCTGAAGGGGGTCCTTAAGGCTCAGTGTTAGACTATTGCATTAAAGGCCATGGCTCTAAGGCCATGTTATCTGCTATGTTTTTATGCAAAGGCTGGAGACCCCAGTTGAAGGTTTTGACATTCATATTCATTGTCTTTGCTCGGACTGGAGCACACAGCAAAATAAAATTTTTAACATGTTAGAGAGAAGCAGTGTGAAGAACAACATGACCAGTGTTCATCTAAGCCAGTACAGGCTGTGCAACTTAGTATTACAGTGTGAAAGGTAGGGCTGACTGTTATTAGATTTTTTTTTATACTAATGCTAATATAATACCTGAGTTTTGGCATGGATACTAACATGATACTTTCTTCAATAACTTACTTTGAGAATTATAACATATATGTCAACATATACTTTGTTAATCTAACAAAAACCTCAGAAGTTCTTAAATGTACATTTTTGAAAGTGCAAGGATTTGCAAGGAAAATAAGTTATTACGAATCTGACCAGATGTTAGCTTTTTGCACTTGATAGTCTTCTGACGCATTAGTTTGTACCAAAAAGGGTTGAGGGCCAGCCTTAGTGATAGTTGTCAGAGGAAGAGTCCCCATGAAGCTAAAAACTGGCCCTGACAATAACAGCATTGCACAACTTTGGTTCAAAACACAAACACGACCCAGTAACCTCCTAAAGTCCTTGTCCTGACAACACTACTACTACAACACTGTGGTTTCAATCTACTGCTACTACTGAATATACTCCAGCATACTAAACTGCGTGAAGTCAAATGAAGTCTTAAGGAAACTGATCTTTTGCAACAGATCTCTGTGTGCTATATAAATGCAAGCCAAAAACAATTTTTACCCTAGATCGCAAATGTGACCAAAGATGATGGATGAGACACTTTGCATGTGTGTGTCTGTCTCCTTGGCAACGTTTAGTTTATTTATAGAGGAAAACACAGATCTTACCCAAAGGCCCAAAGTCCAACCTAGTTTGTCAAACTGACAGACTTGACATGTTATTGTAGCCATGGAGCCCACTCAGTCACTGCAGTCATTTAACAATATATTATATACCAATAGACAAGTAAGTTAATACTAATAGCCCATTTGTAGTTTTCACCTCATATTTCTGATGACTTGCGTAAACTTTCACACTCCATTAATTCAACTGTAGATGTGCACACAATCTCACATGTTAATGCATAAGCACACAAATACATGAGATCTGTGGGCTCAATCTGGCTCTTGTGTGTTCTTTATAACATAGCTCCACAACCAGTCTCAAGTGTTGGAGTTGGAGTTGAAGTTATGTGTCAGGTTGTGCTTAAAGTGGCAAAAGATTTGCCATACTAGATGTGAAAAGAAAACCAAAATATCTCAAAATAACTAATTCCTGATAACTTTTAGTTATTGCTCTTACACTGTGATATACATACAGTATGTGGGAAAAAAAGCATGTCTGTGGATCACAAACACACATTAATCTTACACATGTATTATGTGGAGGTGAGTATTTAGTCAGTTATCTTGAGTAATGTTTGGGAGAATAGCAACGCAGCCTGGCAGGGGCACAGACTGTAATGTGGTGGCACATTTAAATACAAGAAAGCTATTTTCTTCTCCTTGAGGTTTCCTAACCTTCTTTTCCCCCTGTTGAGGTCTTTTTCATTTCCATCCTCCCTCTTTTTTTTTGTCCCACCCTTTTCTCTTTGTGCTTACTGGGGCAGCAGGAGTGGGGCCTACAGAACTGCTGTGCTAAGCTTGAAGTCACAGAGCCTGGCGTCAGGGAAAAATACAAGCTGAGCTCTCATGCAAAGTGGACACACCAGGAGCTCAGCCCTGTGGTTGTAGTTTCTGAACTTTTATCTTCGAGACAAAACTATTTGCAGAGTGGTGTGGATAATACCTTCACCTGCATAGCAATGCAGAATAATTTAGAAGCCACATTCTGCAGTAATAGCTCAGGCACATGTTTGCTCGGACAAATGGTTGACAAATTTACGGAAAAAGCAGACACAGGACACAAGGACTACTTTTCTAAGAAATAATTAGTTTGAAGCTGTCTTCCATGACCCACAGGTAATTATTTTGACATTCAATGTAAACAAAACGCTATAAAAAATATGCTGCAACCCAGCACTAAGAAACATTTATCACATTAATGGAAACAAACAGACCATGCATTAGTGACACACACACCATAGAAAAAACTCTTTTCTTTAAGTGAGCAGTTGTCCGTCCATATTGTCAACACACTAAATATATCCAAACATGTAAAATTACCAACCAGGTTAAGCTAAACCTTGACACTTATTTAGTGCTTACCATTTGATGAAGACTAATAAATATTTAATTTGCATTCAACACTTTCTATATACCTGCATCATTTAAAAAGAACACATCTCATGAGGGCAACAAGTCCTACCTGTGGTTGTTGTGTGTATGATCGGCCCCAGGACTGGGAGGTAACAGGTGCGTGGGGTATAATCCTTCCCGTGCCTCCTGCCTCCGTGGTAGGAGACTGTGAGCGTTTGCCTCGGCGAAGCCCAGGTTCCTCAACTTCTCTGTTGATTCTGCGCATGTATACCTGGGACAGGATGCATCACAAAGAGCTACATTATGCAGCTATACTCTCCTACTTTCCTCCAATGTATTATTCCTTTTGTGTAAGGAATGTACTCAGACTTTGTCTCATACATTTATTCATTATCTCACCTCTGCAGGGGACGGCTTGGCTCCCTTCTGTGCTTCAGCGTTCGCACCAGTTCCTGTTCCGCTGTTTATCGCTTCTTCTGTATCGAAGGTAGTTGCCCGGTAAGCCCTCCATGTTGTTGCAGTTTCTGCTTCATCCTCCGAACCACCATCAGTCAACATCCTTGTACCCCCTCTTCCACGGCCTGTCTCATCCACTGACGCAGTGCCCCGGGTTCTCCAGGTGCTTCTCACAGTCACATTCTTCATGTCTGGTAAACTGTCTTCTTGGGAGTGCTGGTTTTGTCTTTGGCGTCTCCAGCTGGTGACCGTGGTGGTGCTACTGCTGCTGCTGCTTTCAAAGCCTGACTCTGTGTCATTAAAGTCCGCGGAGGTTGTGTCCGGGGATTGGACGCTGAAGTTGCTGCGTTGGCAACACAGGTGGCTGGTGGTGGTCTCCACTCTGGAAGTGTTGTGGAGTTTGGACCTTGATGAAGAATCATTGTGGTCGTCCACCCCACAGTCCTGGTCCCGGCACGGTCGCAAGGTGATGTCGCTTTTGGGAATGGAGATCTCATACGGGATGGAGATGCTACCATGATGCTCACTGCTGGGGCCTGGCAACAAGTAAAATGAATCATCAAAAATCATTTACAGTAACTATCAAATATTTTCTGGATAAAATATGTCTTAAATATACACATATAACAGAATAAATACATGAATTCATAAACAAGACTGTAACACAGAACATTGTAAATATCATACCTGCTAAACATCAGCGCATTGTCATTTTAAGCATGTTAGCATACTAACATAAGCATTTAGCACAAAGCACCTGCATCCAAGTACAGACTTACAAAGTTGCTAACATGTTTTTATAAAATACCTTATGGTGTTTTATTTGGGAAAGGCAGATCAGAGAGAGGGGATGCCATACAGCAAAGTTCAGTTATTGTTGTACAGATCATTTATGTAAAATTTAAGTGTCCACTGAACTTACCTATGAGGATGTTACTAGTGGAGGTATGCCGTTCTTTGATTGGCAAGGGTTCACTGGACACACTGCTGCTGCGACTGCTGGTTCTAGAAGAGCTTGGGTCATTGGGGTAGATGGTTATACTACTGGTCATTTTACTAGTGGTGGTCACGATAGGTTTGGTAGAGATTTTGGGTTTGCCATTTGTAGACAAAGGTTCTGAAATCATCACCTCCTTCCTGTCGATCTCAACGATCGCAGGCTTGATGACAGCCTTTGACCTCAGTGACTCACGTGGGCTGCACACTCGCTGGATTTCAATCCCTGATTGAATCCCAGTATAGGTGGGCCCCTGGTGGCCTCCCTCAGCTAACGGTGTTCTGCTGCTGTGGAGCTCTTCATCAAATGAGCTCCTAGTAGAAGATCCCTCTGAATGCGAGTCATGGACATGGGAGTGTCTAGGATATCTGGAGGTTGCAGTCCGACTGCTTACAGTTGCAGTACTCGTCTCAGTTACAGGCTCTGGTTCAGAGGGCCTTGAACCAGTAGATTCAGTTTCGGAGGCAGATGAATGACCCTCTGATCCCTGGTCGTTGGGCGGCAGTGGAGTGACTTGGGATCTGTAGGCTGTGTAGGATCCATTGGCTTTGGACAGGGTGGAGGCGACAGATACAGAGACAGATTCCTGAACCTGGTCTGTTGATTCCTGATCTGAAGCAGACGCTGTGTCCTTCTCTAAAGCAGAGATACTGTTGACGTTGCTGGAACTGTCAGGCACTACATCAGAGTTGTTTGATTCGCTATCACTACCAACGTACAATTTTGAAAACTTTTCTACTCTGCTCTTTTTAGTCTCCCCATCAGTCTGTTTGTGAGTTGTCCTCAGGGGCTTCTGGTCATTAGCTGCTGGAGGGTAGCGACTAAGAACAGATGCTTTTTTAATATCACTAGAAGGTGTGTTTACAGAGCAGAGAGTGGCTCCTCTTGTCTTTTCTTCAGTTCCTCGTCCTGTGTCTTTTATTCCGTTATCAGATGTAATTGCAGTAGTTGGGGTTTTGGGTGTCCTTCTACTTTTGTGTGCAGGACTGAGGGCTCTCCTTACAGACTTAGGAGAGCTCTCCTCTGAGTGACTCAGGTCTTTGCTCCTTAGCTTGGTCTCTCTCTTATGCTGAGGAGAGAGATCTCTGTTCCTGTGTTTGGGGGAACTCGGTTCTGAGACAGTTGCAGCACTCCTATACTTGGGCTTCTCCTGTCTGAAACTTCCCTTCACAATAATCTCTTCATTCTCAGCTTTGCCGTTCTCAAGGACCTTAGCAGGACTGTTGGGGCAAATGTTAGTGCTTCCATTGCCATGTTTATCCACATTACTGGTTCCATTTCTGCCGATTCCACCTTTTCCGCAAAGCTGCGTCCTCAGCTGTTCCACCTCCTCGCTTAGTTGGCGAGCCTTGTTTCGTTCCATCTGGAACTTCTCATGAAGTTCGCCATTTTTGGACTCTGAGCTCTTTAGATCCTTCTCCACTATCTCCAGCTGTTTAAGACGGTTCTTCAGTCTCTCGATTTCCTGTGTCAGCTCCTTTACTTTGTTGTCCTCCTCCTGCGAACCTTCGAGACCGCTGTTCTTCTCATTCTCAGATTTGTTCAAAAGACCGATATTGTCATCAGCCATCTTCAAGTAGTCAAGGCTCTTCTTGCGTCCCGTCAGTTTACTTGTGAGGAGCCCAGTGGATGAAAACTCATCCTCAATACGCGATTTAATGAAATCCGTACGACCAGGGTCTGCCGACATGCCAAGGCGGTTCTTCTGCTGCTCCAATTTTTCTGTCAGCTTTAGAATGATCTTCTCATCCTCTCTCTGTTTCTCTAGTAGCCTCTTACGCTCACTCACAAAGGTCTGGGTGAATCCTTTGAGCTTCTCAAGCTCCATTGCCAAAGCCTGCTCTGCTCTGTCCAGCTTTGTCTCAGACCCCTCCACCTCCTTCAAACGTGCTTTGAGGGCCTCCAACTCAGACGAGAGCTTCTTGGTCAAGTTTTTCTCCTCATTGAGGCTCAGACAGAGCTGGCTGCACTCAGACTTGCTTTTCCCAAAAGCTTCTTCCAGTTTCTCCAGTTCGGCCATCCTCCGTTGTAGACGCTCAATCTCTGCCTTTAGTTCCTGTGTAAGGCTTTCCTCTTCTTCCAGTTTCTCTCTGACTGTGCGGCAGAGGTCCTCAGCTTTGCGTACCTCCTCATCTTTACCCTGTATCTTCAAGAGACATTTCCTCAAGACCTCCACATCACCAAGCAGAGATGAGTTGCTGCCTTCTGCCTGGATGATTTTGTCCTATAGAGGAGAGAAAGAGTTCAACCAGTCAATAATCTATTCATGTAAAGTATCTCTGTTACATCCCGTTTCAATCTTTCTGAAATGCCCAAACACATACACAGACAAACAAACACACTGTCAGAACCAATCAGAACCAGTCAAGCAGTACTGACCTGCAGGTCAAGTAGCTCATCCTCAGACTTCTGCAGCTTGTTGGTTGCTTCTTCCAGTTCTTCCAGCCTTCGGCCGAGACTCTGTAGCTTATGCCGCAGGTGGCGATGTGTCATGTCCTTATGCTCAGACATGGCTATAAAATTCCGTGTTATATCTTTTGTGTTTGTTTTGTTGTTAGACTTATTTGATGACGTTTTGGGAGGTCCACATTTGTGTGGTAGTCCCTTAGGTCCTAAGGGAAATACTCTTTTCTGTCTGTAGTCAGTGTTTATTTTGGTGACTGTCACTTTAAGACTTTGAAGCTCCCTCAGAGTGGTGTTTAGGAGACGAATCTGTCATCTGTAGGAGGGAGAGAGGATATAACACTTAGTCATCCATAATTTGTCAATGATAGTCATTTGCATTCTCAAAAAGGTGGCTCAGTAAGTGAAGAAAAGGACTGCTTATTGTAGCACACAGAATACTGTAGTATTTCACACTTCCATCTAATTACTGTAACACAAACCATAGGACAAGACTAAATGTGGACAAACACTAATGCATGTACAATAAAAACATATTTACACATGATGTGGCACATAAAGAAATAAATCTCGCTCTTTTCGTAATGATTACAACCTTTGATTTTTAAAATAAACGTGAAATTATCTGTGGAAAAGGTACCTTTCTTATTATTTTATAATGACCTCTTCCTTTTCATCACTGAACCACCATGTATTTCACCTTGCCTGTCTTTTGAAGGAGATGGGGGTGGCACTGCATACATGTGTGCATGAGTATGGGGGTTTCAACATGCCTGCATAGGCTTGCACACACAGACACAGACACACTTTATCGTCTCCCTGCTGTTGTATCCCACATCGATTTATGCTTCCCTGCTTCTGCTGACAGCAGCATATCTCAATAACACCGCTCCTTCACATACACCCCCCACACATACACAGTGGTCACCGTGGCAACCACTACATCACAGCCCCTTCACAACACTAAGCAGAAATAAATTTGATCTGGTACAAGATCGGACATTTAAGAAATCCCATAATCGCAAATAAGGATACCAAAGCTGTTTCGTCCTTTGCCTTGTTAGTCAGTGCATAATGCCAGAGGCTGGATGTGTGTTTCTACAGCCATTACAATGAGTCAGTGCTATGTGATGAGAACATAGATTATTAGCACACCACAGTCTGCCTGTCAGCATGGCCTGCATGAATCGAACAGTTGAAGCTTCTGTCTCATGCATGATTCAGGTCGCGGGCTCTTCTTGTCTTTCTAAATTGTATAACTCCCCTTTCCCTCATTATTCTGCCAAGCTTCCCCCACTGACCGCAAGAGAAAATTGACCTGAGGGTAGGACGTCATATCTGCACACATCATCACTTATCGACCCCCTGGCAACCAGCTCCATAGCTCTTTTTTCCCCTTGACTACAGTACCATGTTCAAAGACTGCCTTTCTGAAGCTACAAACCGCTATATATAAAGACTACTGTAGTTTTACATTAAATAACTTTTACTGCTGTAAAAACATCAACCAATGCAGTAAATTTACTGAATCCTTTTATCTGTGTGAACTATGTGCGTACAAGGTATAACTTGACATTATGGTTAACTCCAGCATAGTTTCATATATGTTCTACCGTTTCATTTAGTGTAAAAGAAACGCACATCACTCTTCCCACAATTCATTAAATATCTTGTTGAACATTAAACCAAGGCAATAAGCTTTGAAAGTCAATATGGCAACGATTACTTTATGGAAAAAGCACAATGTAAACTCAAAGTGTTTAGCTGTAGCGTTTTAATTAATCTATACTTTCATGAGGTCTAGTGGTTTGGTAATCTTCTCAGTGGAGAACAAGCCTTTGAGGAAATACTGTAAAGTGCATGAGAGTAGGATAAAAGGACAAATGGGGAAAATGTCGGGGGAAAAAACGCTAGCCTAGCTGTCCACTTAGATGCCAAAACACCTTAGTCAATAAAGTAATTTTGTGTTGCATTAGCTTTGCACAGCTGTGGCCTGTTAAGTGAGTTGTAGACCAATTTTTCTGTGTTCTCGAGGTGGTTGCTGTGATCCAAACCTGTCCTGACTGATCCTGTTCCACTGGAGTATAAGTACTAAGAAAAAATCCCATATATCCAATAAAAAAGGAGAGTGCTCACTGGCACAAAAAAGTTTAAATAGCTACAGTTCAATTCTTCATGACAGCTCTTCACACTGCACTATGCAACTCAGGGGAAATGTAACCACTGAAGTTAAAAGAATAGCCTTTAAACAATGTGCCTGGGGAGAACGTTTTTTTTTTGGTCCAAGCTGGTGGTCCTACTGTCTTGACCTACTCAATAATGAAACATCATTCAAGTTCAGTTTTTATTATTTTGCCATCTTTCTGATTATCTTAGGATTGGGTTTTAAACCCTCAAATGATTTCTGAAATTCAACAACTCTGAAAGCAGCTCTGGTTGAGCCTCGTCCTGGTTACTAATGGTGTTTCGCTAGGTCCAGCTACTCCTGTCTTGGCAAGCTGCCTACCTCTCCTTTTATTCTCCCTTTATTTCTTTGCCAGCACTCTACCTCCCTCCCTCATCTCTCCCCTCCATCTCTCTTAGACACGCACACCAGCATGGCCAAGTGGGCGCTTTTAAGGGGCGGCGGTGCGTGCAAAGCGACTATGGCAAGGGTCCGCCTCTGCCAAACCAATCAACATACCTGATTCACTTATCGCAGGGCTGGGGCCTCATTAGCTACATTTGGGACAAGACAGAAGGGAATTCGAAGGATGGTGGGTGAGACGAAGAGAGAAGAAACGAGAAGGTGCAGGATGGTAGAGGGAAAGGGAAGGGCAAGAGATTAGACCTGAAGAAATGATAGAGGAGTGTAGGACATCAGTATTAAATCTTAGACCATGAATTTCTTCCATTTAACACCATGACCCACATAGATAACAAGCCCTAATATTCCTGTCTTTCTTTGATTTTCCACACCTGTGGCTGTGGCAAGAAAAGCACAAGGTGTGCAGCTGTTTGAGAACAGAGTTTTGAAAATGTGGAGTTGGGAGGGAAAGGGCTCAAATTCAACACATAGTTTCATTCCCCTGTTCTGTGTGCTGTTTAACAATTATGGAAAACCTGGAGGGGGGTAAGAGCTGCGAAGCAGGGAAACTGACCCCTTTTATGCAGACACATTCCTAATGACGGACTAAACAGGGCACTGCCAGTCCCTCGCTCTGCCTTGTCTGCTCTTAACCAGGCCACCAACAGGCTCTCCCCAAGCCTTCTCTCTGCAGAAGCCCATTCCTAACCAGGGCATTGTCTGGGTTTATGGCCAGGGCCCAAGGAGTATATAAAAATGTTTTTAAGGTTTTGCTCAGTCTGCTCTGAGCATCAGATGGATCAGTCCAGATCTGATTTCAGTCAAAGAAATTCCAGTGATTGCTTTCTTAACAGATTCATGCTATTGTCCGAACTGTGTGGCAAACCTGTGTGAATATTGTGACAATCTGACCCAAGTCTGAAAGCAGGGTATCATCTAAGCTCATACACCATCTGTAACAACACTCACAATTCATTAAAAAGGACACTGGAAACAGCTTAAACCAAGCCCTCATTGACTACACTGTATGACTCTGGCATCGTCTACTTCATGAAGTCTGGGCAGGAAGTTCCCTACTTGACCTTTCGGCAACTTCTGCACTCCTACTGCCGTTGTTACGAGGAACAGGGCAGTGAGACTGTTGATCGGCAGCGAGAGTGTAGGCTGCTGCACAGTTAGATTGAGATGACCTCTACCTGAATAATGAGGCTCAGTGGTTAGAGAGTGAAGACAATGTGGGAGTAAAATGACCACATAGGAGGCTGAAGAAAGGAAGGTAGATCCAGAAACAATACCAGTAGCAGTATGAGAAAAATGAGCAAGGAACATGGGAAAATAACACAAGAGCCAAAGCAGGCAACTGCCCCGGGGTCTCAGACCTTCAGGGCTACTAATGGCTCCAGATCCACCACGTGGCAATTAGTTTGTGGTGATTTAATTAATTGAAAATCAGGTTTGTTCATACTCTATGCACCACTAAAGCATGCTGTAAACTGAAATAATAGGATCTTCAAGGCAATGCCTGCATTATATTATATTCATTAAAATCCAGTTTTAATGCCTGTATTATTTTTGTATCTGTAACTGTATTTACATGGTGCATTTAACTTAATATATTTGTGGTTAATAAAGTTACAACAAAGACTAATACATACAATGCACAGACAGTAGGAGAAATGGGGGGGGGGCGGGGGGGGGCGGGGTTTAATAGAGGCCAGATGCATGAAGGAATGCAACTGATTCAGCAAGGAGTCTTGCAACTGTAGTTTATAGTTTTATATTTTGCATTTCAAATGTATAGGTAACTGGAGCAAATGTTCTTGGATACTGGAGAGAGTACACGAAGAAGTGTTAGATCAAAACACACACACACACACACAGGATAAAAACACCTATAAAAAATACATTAAAAACTGTAGCTGTGACACTCCCATTCCCCGCAGGTGCAAGTGTTAAACTCCAATAATTCTTTGCCTTTAAGGGGCAACATCAACATGACATCTACAGGTCTAAACTAGTTCTGTTTTTGCTTCCTTTTGCTGTAGGTGGCGTAGGTTGGCACGTGTTAAACTGGTAAGACTGGAAGGCACGGGCAGACAGATAAAGATGCAATGGGAGAGCCAGACAGTGAGGATGAGGAAGAGGATGAGAAGGACAAAAAACAAAAAACCAGAGGGGCTTCATTTTGTCTTCGGACCAACAATACCAAACAGACTTGAAAGTAAAACTTTGTTGAAGAGGTCCATCCACTCTGCTTGCTCTCCCTCTCAAACACACATACACACACACACACACACCAAGGTTACAATCATACACCATATCATTAGGGCTTTAGCCACTCTCTTCCTGCCTGCCTTTTGCCTTCAGTACATTCTGTTCTCTCCATGAAAGAGAGAAGGAAGGAAAGAAAAAGAAAAAAAAATCCCCTCTCTCTTGCACTTGACGTTAGGTTGGAACTTATGGTTTGAAGCTCTTCTGCCTCATAAACAGTAGTTAATAAAGGGCCCGAGTCCAATCAAAATGCCTAAACCACATCTTCATGTAGGGGGTTATTGCCAGTTTGCGTATGTGAATGTGTGACAAATACTTTGTGTGTGTGTGTGTGTGTTTGAGGAGGGACGACTGCAGTGGATGGATGCTGGCGCAGCACTGGAAGCCACAAGATGGTGGAGACCTGATGCTTGGCCTGCATTTTTCCGTTTTTCCAAGAAAGAGAAAACCGGCATCCCATAATGTTCGGTTTGTCGTTT